AAGTAGGTGTGTGATCTGCAGGGAATAATCTGCATTGAAGTTTTTGTGCTTTTCTTTTTTTTAAATTCTTCAGATCTTTGCTATGATGATCTTTTGTTAATAAATCTAATGGAAATTGGATTACTATTGTGAGAACAATGCTTTCTGTATGGACTCTACCTACCCTAATTGAAGTGATGTCTATTAAAAGTTTGCACGTTCTTAAGTGAGAAACATAGAATTATCACTCTTTAATCTTTAATTGTGAATCATGAAAATTATATGTATTTCATATGTAGATGTTACTTATCTGTACCTCAAAACAAAATAAAGAACTGTTCTTTCCTATTTATTGTGAGGGGCATCTCTAAAATCAAGCATTTTTATAGACATGATTTGTTAACTACTGACAGCCTATACTAAAAAATATATGAACACTAGTTTGCTTCTCTATAGAGAATGATGTGTGTGCCATGGAAATCCATGTGTCTTTTTTCAGCAGTAAGATGTCTCATGCTGTACAAGTTCAGAAGAGAGATGGTAATGTCACCTGTCACCTAGCAACAAGCTTACGGCTTTGTGTCTTTTCATTTTAAGTCAAAATAGGTATGAAAACGTAGTACTTAGATTCGCATTTATCTCCAGAAATATTTAGATTAACCTTTAAATATTTTTAGTTCCCAAGATAACTCGCCATGACAGATAAAACAGAAATAACTTTAAATGGAAAAAAAAAAAAAAAAAGGACAACATATATATCAGAAACCTTGATATAGAGTAAGGCCAACATGGATCTGTTATATAATATTTCAGATTTAAGTGCCTGTCGAGTTCCCTAATCAACTTTAAAAATTATGGTAACTGAATTGAATATGTATATAAACCTTTATTGACTTTTAAAAAGTCAGTACTTGAAAACACAAGATCATAACTAACGAAGCAATGATTTGTTAAAACCAAATCTAGAAGACAAAATTCCAAATGGGATTACTACATCAGCATCAGAATTCCATTTGCTTGAAACAGAGTGACTGAATTACTTTTGTGGGGAGAGTGGAATGCCCTGAGTAGTCAGATGTCTATAAATACCTTTAAAATGTGTTTCTCCATTTCTATTTGAAGGGATTCTCAGAGGAACTAGCAGCAAGTGTACTTATGGGTCTTGAAGTATTTAGAATGTATTCAACACTAACCTTTAAAGATTGAGAACGTAATAGATCATTTAAGATGTGATGAAGAGCCAGCACTTTGTTACTACAGGGTAATATAATGCCGGTACTCTGAGGTAATTATTCTGAAGTAACTCCTTATTCATTAAGGTGGGGAGCATCCACTTTCATTCTGACCGACGTCATTTCTGTTGTCTAGGGGACTCTCTTTAAGTTCGAAAGGATGCTGGCTGACCATGTGTGGAAATTACAGCAGACAGAACAAGAGTAAGAAGAATTTAGAAAATCATTCTCTATTGCTTATAGCTATTAAAAAGGAATAGGTGTAACTAGAATTTCTCCAGACTGTCCATCAAACCATGAGTATTTACCAGCGGTTCTAGGCAGTAATATTTTTTGTTCAAAAGTAAATCTAAAATTCTCTCAAAAATGTATTAATTTATTCCTCTTCTTATTTTTCACATTTTTCATATTGAAATAAATGACCAACCCTTGCTGTTTTTTACCTCACAAATGAGAATTATTTTTGAAGCCAGGAAAGGGAGGACCAACATCATTTGTGATGAGTTTTTGATGAAGACAGTGACCTTTAAAACTTAAGTGCTTTGAGAAGGTTTACTGGGTAATTTCATAAATGTATTTGGCAGAGCTAAGTAATCTTTTAATTAGGAAGTTGATAGGATATTAACTGTTATTGGAAATGCGCCATTTTCCTATTATATATCATAGCTTGGTTTCGATAGGGATTTAGGGAAACACCACAAATGCTTCTTAGCATGAATAAAGATTAGAGATTCATCTGTTCTAGCTTGTCTCAATTTAGGGAAATCTTACTTATTTTTTCTGTTTAATATCTGGGTTGTTGATTAAAGAGTGATTATTCTTACATGTATGACAGCACAGATTGCTGTATAAACATTACTTCAATTAGGGTAGGTACAGTTGATAAAACAGGTATTATTATTATCCCTTCTTTGATGGAGAAGGAAATTGGGCCTTAGAGAGTGTTGAATGAGTTGCTTAAGGTCACACAGCCAGTGGATGACAGAAATGAGACTAGGGCAGGTCTTGTCAATTCTAAACCACATATTCATTTGCTGTCATTTGTGCTACATAAAGTGTAGGATTGTGGGATGGACGCTGCAGAGCTGAAGATGATCTTGAGTGCTCTCTGAGGAGCTTGAAATAAATGGAAAACAATAGTGAGCATTGTACCAGGCTTTCCTCAGGTTTAAAACATACAGAGGTATAAATTTAAATTGTAGGTGATTGCAAAGATAAACCACAAAGAGCTGTGCAGTAAAATATGACACTAAGAGAATTTATAAGGACCCTGACACCATCTAACTTATTACCTTGAGTACAAAATTAACCTCTGATCATCGCTGTCAGATGGATCTTAAAATAGTTCATGTGCTCAACTCATAGAACTGCTTTCAGAACAAATGATATCATTAGGTTACTTTGTAAATCCCCAAATGCTGTGAAAATGTGTGGTATTGGGTTATGTATATTGTTTATAAGTATAATGTTTATTTTAGTTTGCACATTGATCGTACATAAAAAGACAATATATAATGAAGGCCGTAGTTACTTGGGTAAGAAATATCCGCATAATTGATCTAAAGGGGAGTTTTCTTTATTTGTTTTTTCTTTCATTTCTCATTATTAGCTTCACTCATTCTACAATTACTGATCTAAAATTGGCTAGGTCCTGAGCTGCGTATTGGAAAGCAAAGATGAGAATGGCACTGTGTTAGCATGTATTTCTTCTCCTGGTGGGAATATAAATTAGTATAGCCTGTTTAAAAAGCAATTTGGTGATATATTTTGACAGCCTGAAAAAAAAATCATATTTTGATCCAGTAATTATACTCCTGTAATTACATGCTAAGGAAGTAATTAATGATGGAGACTAAAGCAGCTAAGTACAATAGTGTAGGGGTGAGTGGTGTTAGAAGTCTACACCGGGCTCTACTCACCATTCCCCACCTCCTGATTGGACTCTGTCTTTTGGTTGTACAGAGGCATCACCCAGGCCAGCAGAGGCCCTGGTACATGCAAAATTTACATAGAAGGAAGTTCAGTTGTTATTGGCCATAGCAATAAATTATAAAGTATTAGACATAAAATAGGGAGCATCCCTACAGAGGGATATTATGTATCCCTACAGTGGAGTTTTATAAGTTTTGGATTAAGCATTAATAAGTTGACTCATGTCAAAATTTGCTTGTAATATATTAAAATGTGAAAAAAAAAATTAAACAACCACTTATTGAAATATAAGGAGCCAGAATGTAAGGTTGGGGTCCATTTTGAGTACTGGGTACGTTCTACTATAAAGTTGGAACTTATTGGTTTAGATATTTTCGAAGACTAGAAAGGACAAGATGTGTTTGATAAGAACTTGGTGTTTTAAATGACTTTTTAATTCTTTCAAAGGATTCCATATTATGCCTTCATAATGTAAAATGGAAGAATTATACTCAATTTCAAGAGACTATTTCTAGTCTGCCACTACAGTATTAAAATATTACATTTATATTGCTTTTTAGTAGCATTTCTAGTAGTAGTAAAATCTGTAGTATATATTAGAAAATGTGTTTTGAGACACGAGAGACAGAGAGAGAGAGAGCGAGAGGGAGAGAGGGGAAGGGGAGAGAGAGAGAGGAGAAAGAAGAGAGGCAGAGACAGACAAACACATATATATTTAAAACTGGAATAAAATGAAAGGCCAGTTTCCCTCACAGGCCAAGCCCATGGAACTTACAAATTCTGCTACATGTCCTTTAAGGCCTTATGAGCGAGTGAGTTTGAGCTTATTTCATTTTTTTGTTCCAATGTATGGAAACACATGCAAAGGAAACCTGGCCCAGGGCTGCAGTACAGACGTTGGCACAGAAGGTCTAAGGACTGCAAGGCGCGCCTCTTTTGAGTGTAATTCCAAACGAAAAGGAAAGTCAGCGGTGCCTAATAAGCTGGCTTAAGTGAATGCCAAAGAAAATTTGCCTTATGAAATGGAAATTCTGAAGCAAGTTACATAATGCTAAGGGAAAATGAATAGGAGGACTTTCCAGATATATCCGAAGGGGGCAAATGGTCTGTGTAATCAGAATTCTCCAATCCAGCAATATTTAATTATATTTGGTAAGGTCCAAATGGTCCTGCGATTTGGAAGCATTTAGAAACCATATAAATATTTACTTTATACTTGTTTAATTTTTAAGAAGTGACATGTATTAACTTAGATCGGTTTCTAAAAGTTACTTGGGTATTGGCTGGCTAACATGGAGCCACCAAGAAAAGTTATTTACATTAATTATTCTACACATTTGTATCAACTGTAAAGAAAAAAAATATTTCCTCTGGAAAACAGCATTATTTTAAAAATCTTTTAGTTGCTAAGAATGATAGAGCCAAGTGTTCCAGTTGAAGTATTTGTGAGTTCTCGTTCATATATTAAATTTACTGTTAAGCTGCCTTCTGCCATTTTCTTCTCAGGCTTCTCTCTGTGTCGCTCCCCTCTCCCCATTTTCCTGGACCCCCTCCTTGATCTTTGACCACATTTTTGTTACCTCGTGCCCGGGATTTGTCTCAGTGTCCTAGCTGGTGTTTCTCTCTTTCCTCATTTCTCCATTTTGCCCTTTACTTAGCTGCTAAAGAATAAGCAAAAAGCAAAAAAGGAAATCAAAAATATTCATCAGCTGTTATTTTTATGTCACTCTACTCACTATTCAAAAACTTAAAGAATTGCAGAATTAAGATTTTTCTTCCCCACCTTCCCGCATGAAAGGATGTTATCAACATGTGGACATTTTTCTCATTATTTGTTTTTGTGTGCTTTTCTTGTAGGATCAATGTGACTCTAGAAACAAATGGATGAATGAATATCCATATGAAGAGGAAAACAATAAAGGTTAGTTAATCAAATCATGGAATTGCAGTGAAAACTATTTTAAACATGAGTCTGGAAAGTTCTCAGTAGAGCACTTCTTTGTCTGAATATGAGACAGAGGTAAGTACTTAGAAACATGCATCTATCTGTAAAGTGTAATTTTTATTTTTAATCTTTAAATATAAAGAAATGTATGAGGAGGCAAACCATTTTTGTGTTAATCTGTCATCACTTTCAACAACTTACGCTGGTATTTTAAGAATCAACTTTTAGAAGAATATTAAAAAATGGTAAACCACTGGATAGAACTGATCACAGAGACAACGGGGGGAGAAAAACCCAGATTTTGTATAATGTGCATCAGTTGCTACAAGCATCATGCTCATGTCAGCACCATGTGGTGTGATTGCTGTCAGATGCCATCCTTTTTGCACCCGCAGTCTAGGCTTTCCTCAGAGGGGTATGATGACTGTGACTTTTAACTTTGTACCAGTATAAATCAGAGGAGGAAAAATCCTGTGAATATCAGCAGTAACCAAATGCTGGGTATCACTTTATTTGTTGTAGTTATTTGAACTTTTCTTGTACTGCATACTGATTATAATATAAAAATCATAGGTCGTACTCAGAAATTACAATATGTTAAATCACCTCCATTTCATAACATTTTTACACTGAACAGTTCTGGTATACATGTGTGTGCCTCGTATCTCTTCATAATATAGCGGCACAACACATAAAATTTTGTGTTTTCCTTCCCCCAGTTGCTCCTGCTACTTTCAAATGAATGTACGTTATGCCATGTCTTTTTCTGCTAGCCTACTTTCACAGTTACTTAAAAATGATTTTCCAGGTTAGATCTTTCACTTAAAACTGCCCTCCTCCCTCCTCATTGCTAAAATCATTCCTTTCTAGTACATATTTTTATCTGGAAAATTTTCAGACCTCTGGAGTGAGTACTGATTCCGAGATGATACAAGAGAGACTTCTGGGTGTATCAGTAATATGCTTTTCCATGACCTCAGTGTTGCCTGTGTGGATGCCTTTATTTTGGTAGAACTGATTGTACTGTGTACTTATTTGTAGATCACTGGTATGCTAAGGAACTGTCTCTGGGGCTGGAGTGGGGAGACCTGATCTACATATAGTGCTTGTCAATTCCTGTGGTGTAAATATTCCCATTATGGTTGACTTCGAAGATATAGCAACTAGCTTGCAAGATTTCTTAAAATTTAACACTTGGCTTTCATAGCCGTGTTTGAGCTAGTTCTAGCACATCATTGATAATTTCACTTATAAAGTTTAAAAATTTCATGTACTCCTTAAGACAAATGGGGCAAAGATAGTAAATTTAAAATTTCCTGGCTCATCCCTATATAAACATGGAAACCTTCACTCATTACCATGCAAAATGTATTTATCCTTTTTCTTATATATGATGTTGATATAGTATCACTTTGTTTTCACTCACTTGTTATTAAATTTTTATGTTTGAATGGATTAGCATTAGCTTTGTAAGTTTATATATTTTGACAATGTCATTGTTCTGTAACTAATTTTATGATAACTGAAGATGATGGCAAAGATAATTATTGTCTTACTACTTTCCCTGAGGATAAACTCTGAGGAAAATATCATGATTGACTATAATATATTATATCCAATTCATTTAAAATGATTGTTTCATAGCTCATAACTCATGAGGTCATAAGTCTTTATAGAGGAAGGAGTAGTTACTATTTCATTGAATGTGTTTTCCCCATGAATTTTTTTTTCTATTGCTGTTTTTCATATTTTTGATCAATATTTTCAGTTATAGATGCCTTAGAACAGAATATATTTGATATTTGTTTTTAAGCCTCCTTGAATCAGGTGCCATTAGTTTTAACATAATCTGATTATGGGAGAAAATTGCAGAGTTTGAAAACTTATCTTTTGTTTCAAATATATGTTTCAAAAATATTGACAAGGTCAGTATTAAGCTGCAGTTTAAAAAATGTCAGCAGTGGAAGCAACATTGCTGCTGTCTACGTAATTTAAAAGGGATCTGAATATAGCTTTTAAAATTATTTTATACATTTCTCATTTGCCAGTGGTGATAAACACTTGCCAAGAGTCACAGAATGTCTGAATGTGCCTTTCTGCCTTGGTTCTAAAATTTAACCAGCCTAAATAGCATTTGTAAACAATTTTTTGTGGCCATACCAAGAGTCTCACTTCCAGGAGCGGTCTTCATCTGCCCTTTCCTTAAAAAAAAAAAAAATCTGTCTGTCTGTCTAATCTAATCTATCATCTATCTATATTTGCATTAAGTTCTTTCCTTTACCTACTTTTAGTTTTTTCTTTTGCTCAGTTTCATTGCACTTGAATTTGTTCCTTTACAACCTGCCATTAGGAAACATCACATAAATTCTAAAAAGCGCCCAGCCATCCATAATTTTCTGCCCACAAATATCTGCATAAAATCCTGTATGTATGCTCTTCAATGCATTTCAGTAGTTTGTCATTGTGAATGAGGTGACTTGTTTGTGGACCTGGCTCCACGACCTGGTTTTGCTCCCTTCGTTTTCCAGCCATTGCGGTTTGTTTACCAAGTGCTTCTCAGACCCTGGTTTAGAGCAGGTGGACAAAACATACACATACATGTACATTAATCCAGATTATCAGAGCTCACATGGAAACTTTTGCTCTATGACTACCTCTGATGAACAGCTGCTGCTTCTATTTCTTGTGTTTGGAATCTAAGAGGACAGTAGCAAACCTTTCTGAGAATGCTTTAATTTCCTACAAAATAAAGAGTTCGTTTCATAGTGATAGACTTATATAGTGTGGTTGCTTTTAATTTCTTTTCCATGGAGTTCTAAGTCTTCTTTCTTCACACAGGATGGAAAGATCGTAATAGCAGCCATCTAGCCTTCCTTCCATTTTGAACTAAGTAGGCATAGTTGCCCAGAAAGCCCCATTAGCATGAAGGAAACGTGTTGTCATCTGAATTTTACTTTTCTCAACTTCAAAGTGAAACTAATAACCTGTCTTACTTATTTCAAGAGTTGTTATGGAGGGTGAAGGAAAATATTACATTTGTGAAAACAGTTTAAAGTCGTAGAGTTCTAAAGGTGTGTGTGGTATTGATACTATTATTCTTATAGCATAAGACAGAGTTCGACGTTGTATGACTTCACATCATGAAGTCAAACATTTTCAGTTAGTGACTAAGGTGCACTCGGTGTGTGGCTGCCCCTGTAAAAGTCGGTTGGTTACTTTAGCATTATGTTGAGTACTCCTTGGAATTACCTACTGCATGTGGCAGTTCATTCTATTTCCAGGCATTTATATTAAAAGTTTTTCCTTTTATTGAGCCACATCAATAAATTTGATGATACAAATTAGTAGATATATCACATATTTATTAAAATATCCGGAATTAGGTCACTCTTCTGTCAAGTCACTTCACTTTGGATGTCTAACTTCTCATATCTGGGAAATGAGAGCAAAATGGTAGACAGGGAGTTGAGAAAGATTATGCAATTACTGAAGTAGAATAATGGATTTATTATTTGAAAAGATGATGCATTACTCATTTTAAAAATGGTAAAGCATGCAAAGCCCTATCACCTCACTGCCTCCCAGCCATTAACATGTGGTGAACGTTATTTACAGCATCTCTGTGTGCACATGTACAAGTACATATGGACAGTCTTATAAAAATAGGATCATATTTATGCTTTGTATTTCTAATGAAGAGGTATTTTTTCACTTCCAAAATAATGGAACATATAGAAACTGAATTTAAATTGAAATTTATTAATTTCAAATTAGTGTTCTTTCACCAAAGTGATACTATTACTTAAGATCTAAGGGGGAAAAAAACAGCTTTGAGTTCTGGTAATTGTTTTTATTTGTTTTTTCGTGACTGAATTTAACATCAAATAGCATCTTTTGACTTTTTATTAAGATGGGAACATTGGTAATATTTTTAATTTTTTTCCCTCTGTTTTACCATGTATTTCAAATTATTACCCTTTATTTCTGATTGTTAATCATAATTATCAAAGCTATTTTATCTTAATTCTTATTTTTCTCGGAAATATGGAAACTGCTTTACTGTCATCTGGCATTTGGTGTCACTGAAGGATGAAGCAAACCGATCTTTCACTTGTTCTTGTTTTGCTTTTTTGGTCAGATGTTCATAGACTATTTTTAGCAAGCTAGAAGTTCAGTAACTTCATTGATTTTATCTTGGTTGTTATCATCTGTATTGGTTTTTCTTGGATCCTGACATTAAACTCTGAGAAGTAGCATCTGTTTTTATGTCTTCAGATTTTAAAATTATAATTAAAGGATATTTTCTGATTGTTTATTTTTTTCTTAAGTAACCTTGAAAATATCTACAATGTTTTTACGTGGTTTTCCATATCTGTGGTCTTCACCTTTAACTCTTTTTTAACTTCTTGTGCTTTCCCATTAAACATTTTTTTTTTACTATGTTTTCAGTCAAATTTTTTTTATTATTGTTTAGTTCCTGAAGTGGCTTTTCATCTCTGTAGTACTTCATAGCTCTGTCAGCTTATTTTCATCTGTTTCAGTTATCTTGTATTTTATCATTTGAACCTTTGTACTTCTCTTTTGAACATTTTTATTTAAAGAAAGACCCTTTGTTTGTTTGTTTGAGTCTATGAAGTGTTATTTATCTAAATTCTTCATCTTTTTCCTTGGGTAATTTCTCCTGGGATGTTTGTTTTTTACTGGCCTTTTGCTTACATTTCTCTCTTGCTTTCGATATGTGCGGTTTTCATGCATAATTTCCCTGTGGCCTCTCTCATTATTATCCATCTTTAACATGTCCCAGAAGTTGCCACTGTTGCAGGTGGTATTGTGGGCAGAGGCGTGGACATTTTGGGCAGAGCTAGATGAGTTCAAATCTTTGACTTGAGTTTGTTATTTCAGATGCTCTCTAAATAAAGGTTTCGTTTCCAGCATCTTCCTTCTGTTTCATTGTACAGCAGCGCCTCCTGAGACAA